TCCAAGAGGCAATATGTTGAATTTGATGAAGAAGAAGTTCCTCAAGAGAATTCCAAATCTGGCATGGATATCTTGACCTACAAAACAAATCCAATCAACATTAATAACCATCATCCTCAAAGAAGAATGATCAATAGAATTACTCCTCAAACAGTATCTCAATTAAGACCAATCGAATCAAATGCCCCAACTATTACTAATCCACAAATTTATAATTCATTTGTTCGACCAAATAACTTTGTTACCACAGCTCCACCAGCTATTGCTCGACCAAATAACTTTCCTCAAACGCAACCTCATGAAGCCATGAATCTGCAAAATATTGGTATCAATTTGGTCACCAATCCAACTCCTACAGCTCCAAATCATACCGTTAACAGAGCCAGAGTTGTAGAAGCTTTGAGAAAATTGATTGCCTCTATGAAGAAATAAACAATTAAGATTTGGTATATTTGAAAATTTAATGGCTCTGGGAATATTTAATAAAATTCACAATTTATGAACAATTAGGTTAGTAAATTGTTTAGAAGTTTTCACTGGTTCACCACATCCATTACACATTCACTTGAATGGCTGTCGTATAAAACCGCTATGTATCTCTTCTAATAGTTTTCTTATTAATACGAACAATTGTAAATAAACAGGCCAATACAATACTCAAATTATGAATCTCGCCACTAATTTGTTTAACAGTAAAATTTGAGTCATCACAGAAATTATTTATCTTTAAAAAAAAGAACAAAACAACACACCACTCATCGCCTCCTCGTGTGTCTTTTTTACAAATGATTAAGGCTAGAAGAAGTAATAACTTTTCGATTTTAATTGGAGTTGTATTGGCGTGCATGATTGCATTCTTGAGCGTGTATGCACATGCTGGTAAGGGTGCTTCTGCTCCACCTCCTCCATCACCAAGAGCTGCTGCTCCTCCACCACCACCAGTTTCTAGACCACCACCAGTTGCACAACCGGTTTCAAGACCACCTCCTCCACCACAACCTGTGGCAAGAGCTCCTCCTCCACCTCCAGTTTCAAGACCACCACCAGTTGCACAACCAGCTTCAAGACCAGCTTCTCCACAACCGGTTTCTAGACCAACACCAGTTGCACAACCTGTATCAAAGCCTGCTGCCCAACCAGTTTCTAAACCAACCGTTCAACTAAAGCCAGCTTCAGTTGGCTCACCAATTGTTGTCAACAATAAGAACCCTGCTAAATCTTTCCCAAAAGAAGGTGATAAAGATTTTGTAGGTCCTGTTCTTCCAAAGAAACAATCAGCAGCTGCCCTTAAACCAGTAGCACAACCAACTGTTGAAAAGAAATCTGTTGCCAAGACTGACAAGAGTCAAGTCAAATCAGCAGCTGAAAAGAAGAAGGCCGATGTAACACCAAAAGAAATTGCTAAACCAACAAAGAAGCCA